ATTCTTAATGCAAACACCGACCCTAGTAGTAATTAGTAACGTCGCCTAGTACATATGAACGGTCGTCATTGCAAATCGAACATTCTTTTGAAATTTGGACGTCGGGCAGGCGATTTCAAGGCACCGCACTTAAATATTAGCAACATATTTTTCTGAGCGGTTGTTTATTCTCTTTCAAACGAGACATAAATGTGACGACATAGTCGATCCCTTATCCACCGCTAAGAATGCCGCAATGTTTCGTTCGTTTTGCAACATGCCACAAATCGTCGAAAAAAACACCACTTCGACGGAAGCTTGCGTAATAAGGGGGTTAAAACAAGAAAACAAATGCCATGTTTAATACATATCGACCTGTTTTACTTGCGAAAGATAACTCTGTGCTACTTCCATTTATTCTGCCACTTTCTGAATTCGCTTTGGTATTGTTTTATATCCATAGTGACCATAACTATTATGTATACCTTCCTAAAATGATTGAAGATATTTGTATATTTTAACAAGTTTGGGCATTTCTTAATGTATGTTTGATTAGAATCAAAGTCGTTGCAGTACTATTAAATAGTCTTGAACAGTTTTTAGACCACTGAAGCCTTTCAACATTATTTTTTTCTACAGGTTCTAGTTGACAGTCTTGATTCAAGATGTGTCAAAGAAGTTTGTTATATAGCATATGACCCTGTCAGAGAGAGAAAGAAATGTCATTCACCAAGAACAATCATTGTGCAGAAACCAGGGTGAGTATAATTGACCTGAAGAGAGCGCTGTGCATTGAGTTTTCCCAATTTCCACCAAAATTTGCTTCTCTGTACTTGTGAAAGCAATACATTTTCACTTGCATAATGTGTGTATGAATATAGGCTCATACAAAGGTGAGCATTTTGACAATTTGGAGAAGCTCAAAAATGTTTTAATTTAAGGAGGATTTATTTTATCATTTTTTATATCGTGTATAACTCCATAAATCTTTATGTGAAATAAGTAAAAATCCAAGTTATTTCATATTAATATGATCATTAACATTAGGGCATTATTATGTATTCTTATGTATTATTATAATGTAAATTACAACATTGGTCATTCGTTGTGCAAAAAAATGGAAAAATATGTAATGGAGGACTTTCAGTTAATAAAAAAACACCAATAACTAAACTGTGTAATATATCCCTTACCATAATAGAAAACGAAATGAGTTGTCATTTATAATTTCCACAATGCTTTTACAATGAAGAAACAAAAATGTGTACATTTTATTACAATATTATTTACATACTAGCTAAATTTATGGAGTAAACATTATTAGAGGAAACAGTAGGAAAACAGTCAAGTTTATTATATTGATGCAAAGCAAGTTTTGTTGTTTTTCTGCACGATTGAGCTGAAACATTATACAGGTTTCATGACTTTACAGTCACATTTGTTTGCATTTTCAGGGGTTGAAATACTCTGGTGCACACTGCACTGTGCACATAGATTATTAGCTAGTGCAAGTAAACTCAAAATATAATGTGCACGCTGTGCATGTAGAAATTAACACAACATTTTCTCATTATATTCACTAAGCCTCAATTAAGTTCAACCAATATTGTAAGATAACTCAAAAAAAGCAAATTCTTTCATGATCTCATATATCGAGAAACCCGTAAATTTTTTTAAAATTTAAAAGTGGTGCATTTTACAACAAGTTAGTGCAGGTAAATTTCAAATTCAACGTGCACACTATGCATGGAGGGGAAAAATTCTATTTCAATCCCTGATTTTGGAAGCTACCTAGACTGTACTCATCAGCAAAGTCTAAGATAATGTTTTTTTAATTGAATGTTTAATTTCACAACAAATCAATCACTGATACTAATGCCTGATAAATTCATTTATTTCATCCACTTGCTTTGTTTGACCACAGTTTTGATGAACATGTAATCTGGTCACCCTAATTTATTTCTCTGTTTCTCTAGAAGTCTCAAAGCCTTGAAAGAAGCACACAAAGTAGACCTTGGAACTGAGCGCTTCTTAGCCTGTGAAGATATGTATCTACGTCTAGATCTGCCCTCAATGATCAATTCAGCCATCCAGGCATGTCATCCATCCACTCATAAACTGCTATTATCCCGACTCATACTAACCGGGGGTAACACACAGCTCACAGGGTTCGCCAACCGAATATATAAAGACCTGAGAGAGATTGTCCCCAATTACGCTGACTCTATCTACTTTGTACAGCCGAATAGCAATGCCTTATCTCGTGCACTGAATGCCTGGACTGTGCACTATAAAGCAGCCCCCCTAGCTACCTGTAAATGGACATCCCGCGAGGATTACATCTTACATGGTGTGGATGCAATAAATTGCAAGGATAGAGGGCTCTGTGACAAGACTGCAGACCCATGCCAGTATCAGTCATAAGGCAGGACTGGAATTGTTATACTGCAATTCTGCAGCAATGTGTGACTACGGTAGATATAGTTTCTAGACATTGTTGTGTGCTGAGTCATTATGGTTCATATGTACAGTTGAATGTTTCTAGACTCTGGTATCCTGCCTGTAGTAAACATGTATGTAGCTATGGCACTGAATATTAAGTGAATACTCACTTATTCAGTCTTCTTTGGTCTGGTCCCTAAATGGAAGTCATTGGTAACTGTTGTAGCCATTTATAGAAGTGGCCGGTTCCTGTTGTAGCCAAATATGGAAGTGATCGGTTACTGTTGTAGCCAAATATGGAAGTGATCGGTTCCTGTTGAAGACAAATATGGAAGTAATCGGTCGCTGTTGTAGCCAAATATTGAAGCCATATATTAGTGGCATTGGACTCTGCTGTAGTCATATATTGATAGCCATATATGGGATTGATATTTTGCTGTTGTAGCCAAATATGGAAGTGATCGGTTCTTGTTGAAGTCAAATATTGAAGTGATCAGTCTGGTTCCTAATATAGCCATATATGGATGTGATCAGACCCTGCTGTAGCCTTATATAGAAGTGATTGGTTCCTGTTGTATCCAAATATTAAAGTGATCGGTCTGGTCCCTAATGTAGTTAAAGTGAAAGTGAACAGTCCCTGTTTTAGCCAATTATGGAAGTGATCGGTTTCTGTTGTAGCCAAATATGGAAGTGAATGGTCTGGTCCCTATTGCAGTCCAATATGGAAGTAAATGGTCGCTGTTTTAGCCAAATATAGCATTGATAAGAACTTAAAGTGGCCAAATATGGAACTTATTAGTCCTTTTTATTGCCTAATATGGAAGTAATCCCTTCCTGTTATGAACTAATATTGAAATAGTCAATTCTTACTGTAGCCAAATATGGAGGTGATTAGTCCTATTGTGACCAAATAAGGAAGTGATCAGTCCCTATTGTTACCATATATGGAGGTGAGCAGGCCTTACTGAAACCAAATAAGAAAGTGAGCAGGTTTTTCTGTAAATAAGTATAGAAGTGACCCATTTCCTATTATCACCAATTTCGAGAAGTTGTGCATTGTAACCCTAAAGTAATCAACTGTTAAGTCACAAAATTTGCAATTTAATGTGACTAAGTTCACACACCCCTATCCCAATAAAGACATTCGGCACGCCTAGAACATTATTAAAATATGACCATAAAATACGACGTCAAGTTGTTTGTGTACAATCATAACCATGAGATAAGTGCAAAATGTAATGTCAACAGGAGAGAATTTCTCAAAACCTGGTTTCTTTTATTGAACACTACATTCCACCATACATGCCCTTCGGTCAATCTGATTAAAATAAAAAAAATTGTGTCTTTGTTGGGCTTCTTTTTTTTTTTTTAATTTTTTTACTTTGTTTTTATTTTATTTATATTTTATTTTATTTATATTTTATTTGTTTATATTTTAGAAACCCATCCTCACAAAGATCTGGCTAAACCCAGATACAAAAATCTTGTCAAGAATTTGTATTTGGTTTGGTAAGATCTTTATTCTCTTTAAAATGAAAAATATAAAAAAAAAAAATTATTTTAATCAGAATGTCCGAAGGTCAAACTTCTTTGTAGTGCAATTACTTATGAATTTGTTTGAGATTAAATTAATCCAGAGTCACTTGATGTCTGTGTGTGTTTCTTGGTGTAGATGTTTGTTAGTAGTAAATGAATCATCGTTTGAATCGCACGGTCCTGTGTCTTCGACCTATAGGCCTCTACACGATACCGTGCGGGATCGCATAGGCTAATTGCGTATCTTAAGCAGTGAGATCTGATTGGGCGTGCCTCGAAACAAGGTGCCCAATCAGCCTGGATGTACCAAATTATAAAACAAAATTCCACTTCCTGTTTTTGTCGCTATGAAGACATCCTTCCCACACAAAACTGTGTTGATTGTCTGTCTCGAAGAGACTTGAGGGCACTAACACCGAAAACTTTTATCATCACAAATATCACTATTCATGGGCGCCGCCATTTTGTTTAAAATGAAATGCCAAAGAGAGATTTGTAACACGCAAACTGATTGGACAATGATTAGCCACAACTGACTACTGGGGGCGCTGTTAGAATACGCATATTTGATGGTCGTTCTGCCAAGGTCTGTTTAGTGGCTTTGCCGAATAAACTTAGACCTTGACTAGCGAAGATGTAAATGAATAAACCAGAGTACTCTTCTGATATATAAACGCATCACATACAATCCCCCCCCCCTTCCCATTTATTTTGAGTTATCTCTGAAGGTTTTCTGCAGGGGACACGTTAGAACCCATAGCCCCAAACCATCTATAAGTTGTATAAGTTGCAATCACAGATTATTCACAGAGCTTTATTTGGGTCTTGTATATTTGTGAAATATTGGAAGGTCTGAATTTTACGAAAATTTTAATAAACATCCAATTTTTTATTTTCAGCAAGTTGTGATGTTAACAATCGTTTTGTCGTATTTGATTTTGTGTTTGAATTTCATTTGCTAAGACTTTTGAATAATGTTCTCCAAGATTGCTTTTGGGTGAATCATCAAATATTTCCTTCAATAGATTCAAGACTCAAAAGACTACTGAGATTAGATTTTTCCTGCCATCTCGTCCACTCCCCTACCCATAGTCATATATTTTTGACATTTTTCTTTAATACATTAGATTTATTATCTTTCATTTTTGACTCCCATGTGCGAAGCACATAATGGGAGTCTTTGCACTTTATAGTGTGTCTGTATGTGTGGGTGTGTGTATGTGTGTCCGACTGTTCCACTGCTATCTCAAGAACCATACATCGGTTTTCGATGAAACTTGGTGCATAGATGCTCTGGGCCAATGCGCAGATTTGATTAGGTTTTGGTAAAAATCCATGCTCGTTAATTACCTAATTTGCATGATAATTAGCTAATTTTTAGCTGTTCTATGTCTGTTCCACTGATATCTAAAGAACCACTCATTGGATTTTGATGAAACTTGGTACATAGATGCTCTGAACATATGCGCAGATTTGATTAGTTTTTGGCAAAAATCCATGCATATTAATTACCTAATTTGCATGATAATTAGCTGATTTTTAGCTGTTCCATGATTGTATCACTGATATCTAAACAATCACTCATTGTATTTTGATGAAACTTTGTACATACATGCTCTGAACTAATGCAAGGTTTTGATTAGTTTTTGGTAATAATCCGTGGATACTAATTACCTAATTTGCATAATGATTAGTCAATTTTCGGTTTTTATGATAGTTTTTATGGTAATATCAGTACATATTAATTACCTAA